TTATGCAACCCAAACTAAAAAAAAATAATAATTCTCCTTTTTTCTTCATAAGAAAACATGTTCCTATTGTGGTTGACTTGCCATGTTACCTGGTGATGAGGGAATATACATTTGTATTTATATATGTCTAAAGTATGTATGCATATACTGAGTCCTAAAAGCCGATATGACGCATGTGTATAAAGAAGATGGCAATTTACTGCCGCGTGGCGAATTCCTACGTTCAGAGTCAAGAATCAAGTAGTCCAAGAAGCTGAAGCTTGAGAATATGAATCAGAAAATATTCGATATCACACGGACGATAGAGAAAAGAATGTGTAAGGATAGGTCCAAGGTTAAAGACCTCGGACGTACTGCTATAATTCATTAATAGTTAAAGTGAAGTTAAATCCAGCACTTCTAGTCAAACAGCTGCACAGTAAATACAGTGGGCATGCTCATACCTGATTTATCACACAATACCCGGTCCCGAATTTATCTCTTTAAGAGACACGTCATACTCCGATCATCCTGCTAAGCAAGCCACGTGGATACCTCACAAAAGCCTATAAATACCCCTTAAGGGCCACCTCAGAAAGGTAATTGAAATCAACTTTAAGCTCTTTTTATCTCCACCCTAAAGGTAGCCCCGATTGTTGCTGACTTAAGCATCGGAGTGTCTACCCCGAGAACCCACCTCGGGGCTTTGCAGGTACATCCGAAGTGAAGATGCGGACTGAAAAAGGACTTCTGGTTTGATGAAATTACATTGGCGCCGTCTGTGGGAACTCGAATAAAAAGCTTTATTTGTATGTTGATCCGGTTGATCAAAGGGAAGAGAAGATGAGTGAAAGGCTCATGGCTGATTCTTTTGAGTTGCAGAAGTAGATCTGATGAATTTACAGAATGGGTTTATTCGCTTGTAAAGAAGAGAAGCTTTCACAAGAAGATAAACATAGGAGTAGATTTGCACAATTATCGAGGTTCAACTTTACACAATTATCGAGACCTTATTTCATAGAATAAAAGGTACGTGTGGTGTAATTTCAGTCATGAACATTCAAAGAAGGAAAAGGTGTCAGTAAAGCACATGTTCAAGGCAAGTCAAAATAGTGTGTATATATATATGTAT